AGGGTTATACAAAGACAAAAACACTTCTCTTCGCTGAGATTTCCGCAACATTTTCAAGTGTATGCGTGTGTGCGCGGTCGGACGTGTCCCTTCGCTCGAGTGCAGACGATTGCATTGTCTTGCCGACAAAACTTGCTTTTCGGACAAACGCCCTTGAGGAGGGGACACAAATAGAATCACGATTGTCGAGTGCCCTCTCACCTCCCCCCTCCCCTTCCCGCGAAGCCTCCATTACGTCCAGTTTCCGTTTTGTTCAGGATCGCTCGCGCGCGCGCTCAGACAACGTGTTAATTTGCGGCGGTCGGGCTATGGAGGGGGGGCGGTGACGTCTTCAGATTGAAGGACACTTCACGGTGAACGGAGAAGAATGAGTGCAAACGACGTGGTTCCCGTTGTACTCAACCTCCTCCGCCCCATATACACGCATCTCATCTCGCTAATAAGCCATCCGGTCCCTGCTGCAAATCCTGAAACTGACAGTTATAAGATGATCACGGTCGTCATCCTGGGCGCATCCTGGGTCGATGAGTGGTAAACTTTCTTAATGGACAGCCCTCTGCTATGCGGGACGACAAAAAAAGTGAGACTTCCGATGAGCCAATTCACTTGTTGTTTAGTCTTCGCGTTGTTCACGTGCAATAGAGTCTTTACGGAAGTGGCTACTCGACAGTGCACTGATAAGGAGCGCTTCCTTCTTGGACGCAAGAAGCAGAGTCTAGAATTGGGACAACTGCAAACTGGGAAAGGATCTGAGCTGTTAACTTTTCTGCCGGTCACAGATGTGCCCATCTCCAAAAAAAGGAGCTAATAAAGCGAGGAGGCTCCAGCATCCACGGACAGTGTTTAACTAGTTGCTTTCGGCGAACTGGAGCATTATCATATCCCGAGTCAATGGTAACTCCCTTTTCTCGTACCATCTTGTAATGTCCGGTTTAAACTACTTGATCGCCTCCGTCGTAGACCTAATAGCCGTAACCATGCATATGCTAATCGTCACCGCCCAAAAAATTCCTGAGCAAGTCGTCTCTGCTTCAGTTTCCTGACAGTTGCCCTGCATCATTTAATATTCGTCATCTCTGCTCCGTGGTTGATATGAGAGTAAACTGCTCACACAAATAACCACATCACTGCTTGAAGTTTGTCCCCCCCCACACCAGATCGTGCTAAAATTGTATTCTTATCGAAAATCAATCTTACAGCCCTTCCATATTTATCTGAGGTTTCAAAGTGCGTGCTGAAAATGGGAGTACTTCTATCAAAACTCAAATATGACACTTCACCAGTATTGGATGGTCCGTACATTCTTCTTCTTCTTTGAAAATCACCTTTTGAAGTCTGTCACAAGGAGCGCACTTATAATCAGCAGCATTAGCTAGTCAAGACTCTGTTCTACGAGGTCACATTCCTTACTCATGCATTTTGCTTTCCATTTGGCATCTGCATAATTAACTCACGCAATACGCGTTTAATCCTCAAAACCTGTATTCGCTTGATCTGCTGACTACACTGAATCCCTTGCTTGCTCAGCTGGACTCGGCTGAAGTGCTATACTTTTCATTCATTTGCGACCTCCTCAGAATACACGCAGTCTGTGTGGTAATTGTCTATTCTGCCCTGTATGCATGCGACTAGACCTATTGCTTAAATGAAATGTGAAAAACTTTCTCTAACACGCATGGATGTCACTTCGGAGTTAAAATGTTCTGTGAGGAAGAAAAAGGTTCAGACTAGGACTGTGATGGTCATCTACCAGTGAATTTTACCTTCTAAAAAGCCAGTTTCATTCAGTTGAACAGGGAAAACACTGCTCAATATATTAAAAATCCTACATACGCCAATGGGGGGCCAACTCAACGCTTATAATAATAATAATAATTTGTGTATTTAAGGCCCAAGGGGCCCTGTCGTTATAAACTTAGTGCTATCGTGAAAATAAAAATCATAATAGTAAACAGTGAACTCTTATTAATAATTTCTCATCGGCAGTAAAAAAACTCCTAAGTCGGTGGATGAGTTCAGCGGGCCACCGACTTACAAAAAACTATAGGAGAAAAAACTGCCCTTAATAGGTAACAGGGTTTGATGGGAGTAATTGGGACCATGATGTTGAGGGTTCGGGACGTTTATGGTCATGGGAGAAAATAATATATCGTAGATTTTGAGGTTTCGGGACGTTTATGGTCATGGGAAAAAATAATATATCGTCGAAAGGGTCATCCGGGACAACAGGAGAAGACAGTAAAGTCAAGGCAACATCACCGAGATGCGACCCACCTGACTCCAGAGCCCATTGTTAATTTTATGTAATTATTTTTCTTACTCTTTGTTAAGACTGAGGAAGATGTGCCCCTGAATCTTACTCAAGCAAAGCCGAACTTAACGAACGCCAATAGAACGGTCACCGATATCCTCCTGGGCTCCTTAGGCTCTAACAACACAGAAACGGGCCTTGGCGAAATATCAAACGTTCAGCCCACTGGCACGTCCCTTCAATCCCCAGCAATTGCGGTTAACGGGTTGGCTTATGACAAGGTTGACGATATGAAGAAATTCAGACTTCCCCTCGGCCTACCTAACAGCGACGCCAACCTGAAGTTTTCTCAGTCCCCTCAATCCCTCTCTAAGGTACGCCAAATAATGATGTATTTATACAACCTACTAACAAAACATCAGTAGGCTAACATGAACCGAGCTTGATGATAGCAACTTACGAAGTAAGAATCTCTTTCCTTATAACGCAGGCTGAGAGAAAAGCATATAATGGCAGGCCTACAGTCTCAAATAGGTCAAGGTATGGCACTGGATATAGGGCACATACGCATAGGGATCGAAATTAAACCAAGTGACCTTGAACAGAGTTCCATAAAGGACAAAACTACGGAGTCATGACCTGAAGCATAACCGTCAACTTGACTCCCATCCTTAGCTTACCCCTGACCTAAACGAGAACCTTACGTTAATCCCAATCCCAGACGTGCTTTAACCTTACCCCTGAACTGGCTCAGATATCAACCCTAGTCTCCCTGTAAATTAATGCGTGAGGCCTAGAGTAGGACTGAGTTCCTATTCCTATCCATTTTTCATTAGTCTAAAAAACCGTAGTGCTATCGGACAT